CATAAATAGAAATGTTTAGGTTAAGAACAATATGTGGAAATCATAGGTATAGAAGATGTTTACTATTTTAGACTTGCTTTATTACTGTTTCTTGTGCTCTTGGCATGCAGGGGACCTCAATCTTTGAAAATTTGGGAGTTATGGTTCTTGAATATGATATACCTTTATACCCAATACATGTCAAAGAGTCTGCAGTCTTATCAAATTAACAATGTTATTGTCATTTGTCTTTGTAGGAGTATAGTTGATTGCATGTGTGTACAACTCACTAAGATACTCCATGAGACCATGATTGATCCATTTCATTTTTATTTGATTATGAATGAATGTGTTTATGTTTCTTTAGGTATAATAGAAACATGAAAATAGAAATATGTAACCCATAATTAGAACATGCTTACATTTCTACACATCTAATAGCTGTATACTTACAGTCCTTACCCGTAATAGCAACATATATGTCTTTACTGATGACAAAATATTTCATTGTTTAAAAAGGAAATTAGATTGTTGTTACGTGTAAAAAATAGAAATATGTTGCTATTATAGGTTAAAAAAGTACATTTCTTATGCTGATAACAAGAGGAAAGTATGATTAAAAATGAATAAATTAATTGTTTTATATTATTTTATTGAGCTTTTGTTTGTGTTACTTGCAGGGAAATTATGGGGCTCATATGCGGCGTATGGATGAAACATTGCTTATTGTCCTATTTATTTTGGTGAATTTAAAAGTCAATATATTGTTCGCTCACACTACAAGGAAATGAGCAATTAGCGACGACAAAAGTCGCCGGTAAAGGGTCGAGATGTCGCCGCTAAAGCTAATAGCGGCGACACGTCGCCGGTAAAGAGTCGTTGCTACTGCTTCGTCGCTATTGATTAGATTGTCGCCGCTAAAGAAAAATGTCGCCGGTAATACTTTCTGTCGCCGCTAAAGAGATTGTCGCCGGTAATAACGTTTTTCATTTTTTTTATATTAGCGATTTTGGGTATAATTAATTCCAAATACTGTTATAATTAATTCTATACTAAAAATTACATAACAACATCAAATTAAATACCAAATACTGTTATAATTAATTTAATACCAAAATAAAACAACCAAAAATTTGACAATTCTAACAAGTAGCAAAGTAAGTTTTACAATTCTAACAAGTAGCAAAGTGTGACAACAAGAATAAAATACAAATAAAGCTCCTCCCTACATATCATCATCTTCGTTCCCATCATTTCCTCCTTGATTATTCTGTGATTGAAAAAACGAATAAAGCTCCTCCCTACATGCTGGGTCGTTGAGCAATGCCCGAAGATTTTCCAACTACATAATAAATAACAACATATATAAATTATAAGTTAAATTATCAAACATAAACAAAAACTACCAAAGTACCATACTATTTCTTGCACTTAAATACAAGATATACCAAAAGTACATTGTTATTTATTGCACTTGGGACGAAAACACAATTACCAAATCCACATGCATTTTATGACGCCAAAGTACATTGCTATTTTTAAACTAAGACAAAAAACCAAAGTACATTGTTATTTCTTGCACATGGGGCAAAAAGTCAAATACCAAAGCTTTTAGCAAATACTCACCACAAAACCAAAATGACCAAATCAACATACATTTTATGATGCCAAACTACATTTCTATTTTTAAACTAAGCCAAATAACCAAAGTACATTGTTATTTCTTGCAGTTGGGACAAAAACTCAATTACCAAAGCTTTTAACAAATAATCACCACAAAACCAAAATGACCAAATCAACATGCATTTTATGGCTATTTTTAAATAATCTTGCTTTACCTGTGATGGTTGTGTTGATTGCGGTGGTGGTTGTGACGGTTGTGAAATCGGCGGGAGAGTAGAAGGTTTACGGCCGATGCCTCTGATATGGCCACGTCGCTCTCCTAGTACTTTCTCAAAAGCGACTCTTTCTTGAGCGGGTGTTAACTCACTTTCACCTTGGGTTTGTTCTAAGAGCTCTTCGACTAACCGATTCTGTAATTCCCAAAAGTGAGTAACAATTAGATTATATTTTAAATAAATAATTATATGTATCGTACGTTACCTTCTTATAGCAAGTACTGCTATACGAGCTCGACCCCCCACGATTCACGTTTGTTTACATTTCACGGACTTTTTTGTTCCTGTCTGAAGCAATTATGTGTTCGTCTGTTTGGAAATACTCAACTGCTTTCTTCCAGTTATCAACCTCCATACCCTCTGGAGGGTTAGGTAATGCTCTCGGGATATCTTCATACCCTCCGACTAACATAAAATATTCTTTTGCGTCAGCTTTACGTTCTCGATAACCTTTTAACAAAGCTGCTTGAAAACTCTCTGTCAACATATTAGCTTGTACATCCTGGTACATCTGATTCAAATCAAACTTTGTCTACAAAAAAAAGTTAACCAAGTAAAAACCAATCATAGTTAACCATATAAAATATTTTTAAATAAATAATTACCCCTAAATGTTGTAATATGTTGTCCTTTATTGCAGGGGAAACTTTTTTCCAAGTCCATTTATCAAAAGGGACCATCTGCCACATTGTTTTTCCAACTTCTCGTGAAAACATGTCTTTTGGCTCTCCTACGGGATCAAATGTTATATCCCTATCATATTCCATGCTAATCGGTTTGCCCTGGTTCCGTAAGAGCGCTTTTTCAAGCTTTATATTTTTGGCTTTGCCTCGGACTTTCCTACGTGCACGTTGCTCAACTACAAATATAATTAAAAATTATTAGAAACGGTATTTAATTTATAATAACTGAATAAAAATAGTAAATAAAAATTCATAATAAGACTTACGGTCCTGCTCGTGATGACCAGCACCTCTACCAACTGGGAGAGGTGGGTCCTCAGCTCCATCACCCCCGTGTCCACGGCCCATAACAACATCCATGGTATACACAAACAAAAGCCTAGAAATAGTAACATTGTATTTTTATATCATGTTACTATTATATATATATATATATATATAGATTATATATATATATATATATATATATATATATAGTAAGATGCTATAAAAGTACAATGTTACAAATAAAAGCATTTGCCACTTTATGAGTTTTCTTCTACCAAATACTCATATACCACATATACATCAAACACACATACATTGACTTATACACACCAAATTTACATATAATCACATATAAATATCAAATATACATACGTATGTGACGAAGGTGACGAAGGAAGCGACGCAGGCAAGAGAAAGAAACGGGATTTGCAGTGAAACAGAAGAGAAAATGGGAGAAGATCGACATTTCTGGGGTTAAGTGCGTCGACCTTTAGCGGCGACGCCTTTACCGACGACACTTTAGGCTTTAGCGGCGATAATTCTCAATAGCGGCGACTATCAAGAGGGAATTATTACCGCGCCATTTTTCGATCTTTAGCGGTGGCTATTTTAGGTCTTCAGCGGCTACAAAAGTCGCCGGTATTTCCTTTATCCCTTCCATGAGCACCCTAGCCGTTGGATTATAACAACGATCGGGCGGTTCGTATCTACCAGAACGTCAAAGAGCGGATCCGTATCATTCAGCCTTTAGCGGCGACATCAATAGCGGCGACGTTGGTCTTTAGCGCGACTATTTCATTAGTTGATGGCATGTGTCTCTATAGTGTCACTATGATATGAACCAAAACATGGTCACATGATGCTATACTTTTTTTGCACAGTGGGTTTAATATGGAAAATGTGAAACATGGCAATATCAAATTCATGAGTTTTTTAATGGTACAAGATTTGATGGGTAATTGTCCAAATTGCTATATCATATACCGAAGAGGTTAATAAAGGAGAGGGGTCCCGCTACCTCATAGTAAGCTTGCAAACTATTCTTAGTGATCATATGAAGAACATATTGTTGAAGAGATTGAAGCAGGACATCCCGACAAGGTGAGGTTCCATGGGAAAGTTATAATTTGGTGATACAATATTTATGTTATGGTGTTATTATATGGTTTTAGTTTCTAGAATAATTACTTATTTTCTATGAATCTTATGTTGTGGATATCTTATCAATCATATAGATTGATATGCATTAATTTTGCTTTCTAGCATATTATCTGATTACCTTTTGGGTGGTTGACTATTTTTTCATGATCATGATCAACAAGAAGTTGAATGCTCGTAGACTTTCAATTTTGATGAGCTTCAAGGCTCTTCTTCTACTCAATAAAAACAAATGGTATGAACCATTTTTTGAATCTCTGATATGAACTCATCCTTCACAGTGGGTAAATATAACATTGGAATCATGCATAACTTTTGTAGACTATGCTTTAATCATGGTCTTGGGCCGTGCTTAGCACGGGCCGAGAACCTTCCTAGTATATATATATATATATAATATATATCGATATATATATATATATATATATATATCTATATATATATATATATATAATATATATATATATAAATATATATAATATATATATCAGTTGACACCTGTCTCACTTTCAACATTGTAAAAGTTGAACACACTGCACCATGTTTGTGATAACGAATAGTCACCGAACCATAAGGGAATACACTTATCCGTGCTCTCATTCCCACTATTATCACCAGTCATTTTCATATTTAATCCAACATTATGTTTTTTTTATTAAATCTTTAATCATCATCAGATGAATAAATGAAGGCACGTGAGTTTGTAGAACCGAGTTTGATATTAATATTATCATATATCTAATATTTTATATATACCATGATACTAACAATATTTGATGGTACTACTATACAAAAACCCTGAAAAAAGAAGGTGGTAATCTTGTCTTTTTCTACTTCATGCATTATTTGATTTCACTCTACAAACGAGTACATATTCAATCATTTTCGTGTAGGATACATTACCAAAATCACGTTTTCAAAATGATTCTTTTGACTTTATAAGTCCAACACGTTACAAACATAAAAGTAACTAAAACGCATTATATAAGTATGTATATATTGGTATAAAAAGTAGAGTGGTTTCACACGTTCATCCAAACCGTCGTATGAGATCAAGATCGACGGCCTATATTTTTAGTCAAACCAACTCTCACATCGGTCACAGCCACCACACCTTCCTAATTCCTACCACAAGTCGCAAGTCCACCACCATACAAAAAAGTTACGTCGTTTTCCATTTTCCAGAATTGTTAATTGCTATATTCAGATTTCAGAACCGATCTTCTTGTAATGATTAATACTATGTGCCTCGAGAGTTGTACTTGGGTCAATTAATCTAAGTATTTCCATTTTGTTCGAGGTAATGGAACATGCAAATGCCTTACCTACCAAAAATACACAGCAAATATAATTAAAAAACGAAAACATTGACCTCCCTAAATCTACTCTATTTAAGCGACATACCCCCACCCTCATAATCCATCCCTCCGATCCCATCTCCATCTACAAAAGACAAAGCTTTTTGTGAGAAAATTTTGGGATTTGTCGGATTCTTGAAAATGGGGAGTTTAACCCTCGAGAATGGACAAGGAAACGGTGCGGCTTCCGGGTTATGTACTGTGAATGGTGGTGATCCGTTGAATTGGGGGGTGGCGGCGGAGGCGATGAAGGGGAGCCACCTTGATGAAGTGAAACGGATGGTGGCGGAGTTTAGGAATCCGGTGGTGAGACTGGGTGGGGAGACGCTGACGGTGTCGCAGGTTGCGGGGATCGCCGCCAGTGATAACGCGGCGGTGAAGGTGGAGCTGTCGGAGGCGGCGAGGGCTGGGGTGAAGGCGAGTAGTGATTGGGTTATGGAGAGTATGAATAAAGGTACCGATAGCTACGGTGTCACCACCGGTTTTGGAGCCACGTCTCACCGGAGAACGAAGGAAGGTGGTGCTCTTCAAAAGGAGCTCATCAGGTAATTTGATTACATTCATGTTTATATATGAACAATATAACCCAAAGAGTTTTCTTTTCATTTTTGCCAAATTTGTTTCGATTAGATCTTAGTCGTTAATCAATTATGATCTAAAAACAAGATTTCTAACTTAAAACATGTTATTATACTCAACTTGTAAAGATAAATAAATGTTCAAGTGTTTATTAACACAAGAAATTCAAATAGTACTTGTTTTTCTTTCTTTTTATAAATAATAATTTTCCATAATTGTAGAAGATAAATGCAACTTCAAATTGCTGAAATTATCTTGAATAATTCTTAATAATAGTAAGTTAATACTTTTAAGACGTGTATCTTTAAATTATATAAAACAAAAAATAATATCGACGTAAAAAAGGAAAGAAAAAATATTATTTACGTATCAAGTCTGAGAGGAGTTAGTTTTTTGCCACCTACCACCACAAAGGATGAGTAGATCTGATCTTGGAACTATATTCACATGATATCATTAATGAGGGCCCTCCTATTTATTTCTTAAAATAGTACGACAAAATTCACTTATGTTGTTTGTAATATTTCTAACATTTTAATTAATTTATTTTAAAAAAAAAAACTAAAAAGGTTTTGTAATGTTCTTTTGGCAGATTCTTGAACGCCGGAATCTTTGGAAACGCCACGGAATCATGCCACACACTTCCACATTCGGCAACAAGAGCCGCCATGCTCGTAAGAATCAACACCCTCCTCCAGGGTTACTCCGGCATCCGTTTCGAGATCCTGGAAGCCATAACCAAATTCCTCAACACCAACGTCACCCCATGCTTACCCCTCCGAGGCACCATCACCGCCTCCGGCGATCTTGTCCCCTTGTCTTACATCGCCGGACTTCTCACCGGCCGCCCCAACTCCAAGGCTGTTGGCCCCAACGGAGAAATCTTAAACGCCGAAAAGGCCTTCAGTCTAGCTGGTGTGGATGGTGGGTTCTTTTGAGCTTCAGCCGAAAGAAGGTCTAGCACTTGTGAATGGCACCGCCGTGGGATCTGGCATGGCCTCCATGGTTCTCTTTGAAGCCAACGTTCTTTCTTTGTTGTCAGAAGTTATGTCTGCCATTTTCGCAGAGGTTATGCAAGGGAAGCCGGAGTTCACAGACCACTTGACACATAAATTGAAGCATCACCCAGGCCAAATTGAAGCTGCAGCGATAATGGAATACATTTTAGATGGATCTGATTATGTTAAAGCTGCACAGAAGGTCCATGAAATGGACCCTTTGCAGAAACCTAAACAAGATCGCTATGCTCTGAGAACATCGCCTCAATGGCTAGGCCCACAAATCGAAGTCATCCGATCATCAACAAAAATGATCGAAAGAGAAATCAACTCCGTCAACGACAATCCTCTGATCGACGTTTCCCGGAACAAGGCCTTACACGGTGGTAACTTCCAAGGAACCCCAATCGGAGTTTCCATGGACAACACTCGTTTGGCAATTGCTGCGATAGGGAAACTCATGTTTGCCCAATTCTCAGAGCTCGTAAATGACTTCTACAACAACGGATTACCCTCAAATCTCTCCGGTGGCCGGAATCCAAGTTTGGATTACGGGTTCAAAGGTGCAGAAATTGCAATGGCTTCGTATTGCTCGGAGCTCCAGTTTCTTGCTAACCCTGTCACTAACCATGTCCAAAGCGCTGAACAACACAACCAAGACGTAAACTCTCTAGGGTTAATCTCTTCCCGGAAAACTTCTGAAGCTGTTGACATCTTAAAACTCATGTCATCTACATACCTGGTGGCTCTATGCCAAGCCATAGATTTACGCCATTTGGAGGAGAACCTTAAAGCCACCGTGAAGAACACTGTGAGCCACGTAGCCAAGAAAGTCTTAACCATGGGTGTCAATGGTGATCTCCATCCTTCAAGATTCTGCGAAAAGGACTTGCTAAGAGCCGTTGATAGAGAATACGTGTTTGCATACATAGACGACGCTTGCAGTGCCACCTACCCATTGATGCAGAAGCTCCGACAAGTTCTGGTTGACCACGCTTTAAACAATGGCGAGAAGGAGAAAGATGAAGGGACTTCAATCTTCCAAAAGATTGGGGTTTTCGAGGAGGAATTAGAAGCCCTTTTGCCGAAGGAGGTGGAGAGTGTAAGAAGCGCATACGAGAATGGAAGCTTAGCAATCCCTAACAGGATCGAGGCTTGCAGGTCTTACCCATTATACAGGTTTGTGAGAGAAGAATTGGGAACAGGATATTTGACAGGGGAGAATGTTACTTCACCAGGGGAGGAGTTTGATAAGGTGTTTACAGCGGTATGCAAAGGGCTAGTGATTGATCCGTTGTTGGAGTGTCTTGAAGGCTGGAATGGTTCTCCTCTTCCAATTTGTTAACTTTTATTTGACATCTTTATATTATATGTATCTGTTGTTTAGGAAAATGATGGACTATATTCCATGAATAAAGTGATTAGATGAGGTTCTTATAGCAAACAAATAGTTTCCAATATAGATTTCACAAGAATATTTAAAGTAGTAATGCTTGATAATGACACTAGAAATGTGCAACACTTGTTTTTTAACTGGATATACGTTTAATGTTGATTATTAGGGTGATAGTGTGTGAACGGAAAGTATTGGGTTAAAATTGGATCTACTAGATGTGGGTTCAAGCCCAACTACGTTTATTAAGAGAAAGTAGGCTGATCCCATATAATCAGAGCCCAAATCCAAAGTGTTCCAATCCAACGGTGGGTAGAGGTGCACAAAAATCGAACCTGAACCGGTCATAAGTTGATCCTTTTTTTGGATCGGTCTTTTTTTTGGACCGGTCCCGATTGGTACTCGATCAGTCCTTTTACAGTCCCATCCTTTTTTGGTTCGGTCTTTTTTCGGACCGGTCTATTTCTGGATCGGTTTCGCTATAAAGTAGTCTGATACCGGTCTTTTTTTTGTTCGGTTTCGGATTTTTTCGGGTTCGGTTTCGGGTTTTTTCCGGTTTCGGTTTTCCAGTTTTTTATTTCACTTCGATTGTCTTATGATACATTTCATAACATTATGATATATTTCAGAACATTATAAATCATCATCCACCAAATACATATATAATAATTTCAACATTTCATAACTTCATAAATAGACATATAACTTCAACATATCATTAAATTAAGTTCATAATATTACATAGAAAACATAGAGAAATTGGGTTCATAACATTGCGTAAAAGACTTAGGAAATATAAATAAGTCCATAACATTAGTGATAACTTCAGAAACATAAATATATCATCAAAATGTCATACCCGGAGGGAAATTCCAAAAGTTGTAGTTGTCGTCGGAATACGAAACTTCTTGGTCGGGGTTGGAATAATCTTGGCCATGAGTGATGTTGGATGACGCACTTATAAAATTTGCATTTCGTGCTTCTTGAGTTTCAGCAATATCTTTATCAACATCAATGTTAGTGTATGATGACGCTTCCACGCCTCTTTTTTCCATTTCATCTACCCAAATCTTGGTTTCCATATGGGTTAACCCTTCTTCAAGATCTGCGCTATTTTGTGATCTCTCCATTGAATCATAGTAGTCCTTTAGCATCATCGACATTTGCATTGATTCATCAGTTAGCATACACATTCGAACACTTAATATCATGCCACTAAGAGAAAAACAACATTCTGAAGCTACGCTACTAGCTTGGATCGTTAGTACATCCCTAGCCATTGAGGCTAGGACTTTATATTGACCTAACCGTTCTCTATCTTCCCACCATTTTAAAACATCCAATTGTGAAAATTGTCTGTCGGTTATTTTAGAAGCGTCATCATAATCTTTGTACAATGAAAGTTCATCTAAAGACGTTTGATTGTATCTCAGACGTTTTAATTCACTATCCCTAAACCATAAGGATCCGATACCAAGGAACTAGGTGGCCTCATGATAAAGGTTGAAGAACTAGTTGTAGTGTACTGGTTCTTGAAAAAACAAATCAGCCAAAAGTAAGTAATAGCACTTATAGTTTGTAGCCATTGTGTAATGTTTTATTACTTAGATATTATTAGTTATTAGAGTAAAAAAAAAGCAAAGGAATGGAGTTTATATTTGTCCCACATCGCTTGTGCTACAAAAAAAAAAGTAAAGCTGGAGCATTATAAAAAGGGAACGAAGGGAATTCTAAAAACATGAGAAAATTGAAACAAAACCATTATTGGAAGCCTGACATTTGATTGGGCTACAAAGAATATTTGGTTTTTCATTTTTTGGAGCCTAGGACTGGTTGTAATGGTTTGAATTAGTAATTGTCCAAAAGATGGACTGGTTTATTTTTTGATCGGTTCAACTTTGGACTGGTTTAGGACCGGTCTGGATTGCCACGTATATCAATTTTAAGGACCGAATTAGGCTTTCAATTCGAACTGTTAAAAGGACCGACGGTCCAGGACTGGTTCGGTCTATATGCATCTTTTTGGACTGGTTCTTTTTCCCATCTCTAATGGTGGGAATGAGATGAAAGATGTTGTAATTGTTATGCATAAGCATAAACTAATACGATTATTGAAGGAAAACAACCTAAATATTGAACTAAGTATGGCCTGTACAAGGAGAAGAAGAAAACTAGAAAAAGAAAAAAAGTTATATTCCAAATCAATGTGAACTCCATTTATGTCAATATTTAAAAGTTGTGTCAATCACATGATATTCATACTTTTAAACCATAAAGTGTTACATGTATGACACCTAACTAATGAATGTCCACATTGGCGTACATACAAAGTGAATTCTCACCTGCAACTAGATCTCCCTAAGTCTTCTCACTAAAATTTAATACTTAGAAGCTTTTTCAACTTACAGACCTCTACTTCCTTTACAACTCGACATCGTTTCAAAGTCATCACGATTGACCGATTTGAATAATATCATCCACATTCTCGCATATACCCGTAGAAGCCTCTTAGTGGACCATCGACTTCCTCAAGTGACACAACCATGTTCTCTACGAACTAGTCTCTTCCGAGCAAAAACTAGAAACCGAGCACAACACGGTTTCCCCATAAAGAACGTAAAGTGAAGACTCCTTTATCCCTTTTATTACTACTAAGGTGCCTTTAGGGACCCTAAGCATACCCTTCACAGAAGTATATTTGAACATTCTCAAGTCCAAAAATGTCAAAGGATGTCAAGTTCGTTTAAAGCTTCTAAACATGTCGAATACTCATGCTCCATCACGCATTCAAAAGTTTATCAACCTAATGACGACCACCTTGCAAAATGCATGGTTCCACATCAATACACATTGATATCCAACTCTTGATATGTCGTTGAGTACATGTAAAATGAACAACCTGAATCCAAGACTCAAGCCTCTAACCTCCAAAACTCACATTTGTCGATGTAAGCACAAAATTCTTCTACAAATTAGTATCCTCATTCATAGTTTTGTTATTCGACATGCTTCCATTTTTTTGGATACTTGTTCTTCCAACGTTCTATCTTATGATCACTTGCTTTTAAGTTTCAAATATGTATATATTAATATTCTTTGTGTGCTTTTATTTATTTTCATACTTACATGGCCTTCATTGCTTGTTGTAACAATTAGATTACTTTAGCCTAAAGTAATCTAACTGTAACAACAAACAAGGAAGTCCATGTAAGTATGAAAATAGAAAAAACCACATAAAGCATACTAATGTATATATATTTGAAACTTAAAAGCAACTGATCTTAAGATTGGCCGTTGGAAGAACAAGTGTTTTGAACCTATGAGATGATATAATAAGCATTCAGAACATTAACTTGGAGTACCAACTAGGATTATATGTGTAGCTATAGCCACCATACATGAACACTATGATGTTTTGAACCTATGAGAACTTGAGTCTCGGTAGGACATCATATATACAATCGTTTCATTCTTTCTAGGACACTTTAATTTTAGGGTATTTTGCGAAACCTTCCTTTTTATGAAAGTTTTGTGTTACATTATGATACTAGTTTTATTAGTACAAATAAGGTTAATGTTTAGAATGGTTCAGTTATGTTGTTCCAACAAATTATATATTGTTCACAAAGTAATTACAAGTTCGTTATTATTATTTTAATTCCTTTGTTATTCCTATATTTCTTTCTTTGATGTTCGATTTTTTCATTGGGCATCAAGATATCATCAGGTTGATACCTTACATTTGGTATTAGATCCTAGGGTTCGTGAATACGAAGAATGTCAGTTTGAGAATCAATTTTAAGAAATGGTGTAGCTCTTTGTTGCAGGGCAGACGCTGATGGGTTTTCTAGGTTATAAAAGTTACATATGAGCGGAAAAACACTTAACCCTAAGTTCACATGCAACCTACTTTGGATCTATGTTTTCTCTATTGATAGCAATAAATTATGAACATCAAGAAACCCTATGTCAACCCAACTATTATCAACTTTTATATAGGAATAGGGTTACTTACATTTTGATTATTATAGTAAATAACCACACAAAATTCTCTTGAAGCTCCTTGGAAAGCAAGCACCAAAAACATGAATGTCTCTAATGGCTTGTACCCCAAACCCTAATAACTAGAAAACTTGAGGGGAGAGGATAAGTAGAGAAATTTTTTGGCTCTAAGAGGGAGAAGAAGAGTGCATGAAATTAAGGACCGTAGGGGTCCTATTTATAGCTGATAAAGAAAGTCTTGGATAACCCTAATTGAATACTATAATAGCATCTCAAACATGGTAATTATCCAACTCCTTATTTATCTATAAAGAATATTCCAAAAACCCTAATCTTCCTCCCTAAAATCGTTCAAGATAGGAAGATTCTAGAATTCTCTTTTGTTCAACTATTAAACAATTACATCTTAGCACCTGCACTTTTAATTAATTCTAATTAACCCGAAATTAATTCCAATTAATTTCTAATTAATTATTAATTAATAATTACTATTTCAAATTAATATATTAATCAAACAATATATTAATAAATCATTTATTTCCATTTCTAATTAAATTATTAATCATATAATAAATTACCAAATCAGTCTCTCTCTCTCCAAAAGTCATTATATTTAGTTACGGGTTATGAGGACAACCCAAAAAGGACTTTGCTTCTAATTCAAAAATATATCAATTTAGTTATTGACTTAGACACATTAATCCAACAGTCCCCCACTTGGATAAGTCTGTAACTACAATTGCAAGTATAGACTTTGAACTAAACAACAAAGATTGCTTTCCAAAGCCACTGCCAAACTCTGATTTAAATCATCTATTGGCCCTAAGATAAGTGATCAACTATTCATTCGTTCTTCATGATATCGTAAGTAGAAGACATGGATCAGAATCAATCTCAATGTCCAAGATTTTGTTTCCCGATTTCCCGATTTTTAAAGACTTTATTAGACT